GCAGCTGCACTAAGCAGTCAACACCTGCACTAAGCACTCAGCAGCTGCACTAAGCAGATAACATCAAACAATACAGGCACTTATTGTCAGGAAGAACTGTGCAGCCTTTTGCAGCAAGACATGACCTCGTTTGAACCGGTTTGTAAAAGCAAAGATCTGATAAAAAAGTGTATACTGATGATGTGCGAGAGTGTATTTTGACAGAATTTGCCAGAAAGGCTTAAAGCTATTTCAAGCCACTGATTGCACAGATGTGGAAGATTTCAGGCAGGCATCATTCAAAACAATCAACAAGAGTGGTAGACAATGCATCTAGTTAATAGCTGTCCTAGCAGCCTCTTACCTGCAGTCGATGTACTGTACAAGTCCCATGTAGGTAGGCATGTCTTGAATACTCTCTATGTAGAGTGGGGCCAGCAGATCTCGCTGAGCTCTGCGATTACAACAGAGTGCCATGTTGTACAAGTCAACACAAGCTTTGCTCGCAAGAAATGAAGGGCTCAGAACTGCAAGAAAAAATAAAGTACACCAGTTTAGCCAGGGTACCTTCGTATGTTACCTTCCAATCTCATGGTGTATGGTGTGTTTGCAACCTGTAATGGTTTTTAAGGTCCCTCGTAGCTGACGTTTAACTGAATTTTTTTCATCAGTTTGCCAACTGACTGTGAGGCTTACATCACCCCATCAACGATGCCGAAAGACAAATAATCATTTTCAAAACACCAAATGAAATTTGATGACCCACACACCTCCATTAATTGTGTCACATTGGAAATACTCCAATTTGTAGCTTAAAAGCTAAAGATCTAGAGTGAGCAAAGACCCATATTTGTTTCACATAGATATGGATCTTGATCATACGTAGATCCCAACGCCGGTTCGCTCCATCCATTAGGTGGGTTCCCGTGTCAGTAAACCAATGATGGAGTAGGGCCAATGACAAGTAGGGCCCAAGGCAAAGACTACAGACAGGCATACTTGGAACCACGCGGGCGCATCTTGACATGATCTTGTACATGTCCTCCTGCCAGAAGGACCCTTCTGCCCCATCCTTTTCATCCCTGTCATCGGCAGGGTCCTGTCTGCCCTTGTAGATTCTGATGCCTGGCTTGGAGGCTAGGAGCTTGGCCTCCACCATGGATGCTATCTCACTGTCCACAGCACAGTGAGACAGGTAGATGTCATACTCAAGGGGCACAGCCTATCCAATAAAAGGATGACGACAATTTTTTAATTGTAAACTGATTTTACGCCCCATAGATGGGTATAATGCAGCTAGGATTTTAGAGTAGAAATAAGAATCATCCAACTTTACAAGATGTTAGATCATGTTTTCAATTTGTAAAGGCACACATGAGAAGCAAAAATTAAAACATCAGCTGAATCACGGAGGTTGCATGCTCGGATATAGCCCCATTAATGTGGCCTACAGTACGCTGCGCTCCTTATGTGGCCTACGGTACACAGAACTGTAGGGGAGTGCAGCGTACTGTACCCAACATTAATGCAGAGTTGCTCAATGGAGTCATGTGACTTGGACTCAAGTCAGACTCAAATCGCTATTTTTGTGACTTGTGACCTGACTTGGACTTGCAAAAAATGACTTGTTATAACCCAAGTCAGACGCTACTCGACCAGCCCATACATTTTTATAACTTTTAACTCGTAACTTCATAAGTTGACGCCTGGTTCTTTTTGCTGATTACAGCTGGACAAAGTAATGTGCAGCTTGACTTGTACTTGGTTAAAGAGACTTGTGACTTGACTTGTGTTTAGACCAAATGACTAGTGACTTGACTCGTGTTTAGACCAAGTGACTTGTGACTTGACTTGTGTTCAAACCAAATGACTTGTGACTTGCCTTGTGTTCAAACCAAATGACTTGTGACTGGACTTGTGTTCAAACCAAATGACTTGTGACTTGACTTGTGTTCAAACCAAATGACTTGTGACTTGACTTGTGTTTTCACCAAATGACTTGTGACTTGACTTGTGTTCAAACCAAATGACTTGTGACTTGACTTGTGTTCAAACCAAATGACTTGTGACTTAACTTGTGACTGGACCTAATGACTAGTGACTTGGACTTGCAAAACATGACTTGCTGCCACCTCTGCATAATTTAATGGGGCTACCTTTGGTACAATTTAATCACATATAGACATGATCACTAAAGCATGTGCTTCCACTTTTCAAAAACCATTTAAGAATATCTTGCTGCTGATGGTACTCAACGTACCATCGGGATGAATGTCTCCTTGTTGTATCGCTCCTTCAGATTTCTGAAGGCCTTCACAATCCCCTCTGGATCTCTCATGCGCTTGGCGATCAATTTACCCTTGACGACGGTGGCATAGAGCACAATCTTGAGTTGTTTGAGAGGCAGGCCTGCTTTCATCCATTTGGCGGCAGCTTCCACCATGCCCACCAACATGGCAGCCTCATCTTGACCCTGATAAAACAAGACTAATGGTTTTAAAAGTTTGCCAAAAAAAACCCCAAATCTCTGGACCAGGTACAATATACAACCACATCTTAAACTTCTAGCTCTGATATAGCCGTAAATTGGATAGTTCCCTGGGGGCACAGGGCTTGGGCATCATGAGCTCACTTTGGGGGTAAAGTCCAGACTAAGCCCCTTCGCCAAACAACAAATCCCAAGTGCATCACTGATCAGACGTGCACATATTCTGGTACAGTGTATAATCAATCTGTGAGCTAGCATTTGCTTCTAAAATTTCTCATCGTAAAGACATGGAAGAGAGATAAAGTTATGGTACACACGTGTGAGTTTAGCTAAGGCAATGGGCAAATGGTTGGCGAAGACCAACAGCTTGCTGATGAGCAGTTTTCCTCACCTGGCCCCCTGTATTGAGCAGTGGAGTGATGACTGTCCCAGGTTCATTATTGAGGATGGGTACCAGGCAGCGGAACACATTAGCCACCAACTCCTGAGGGCGGCACAACCTCCCCCTGAAAAGGAAGACATTATCAAAGGAAAACAAAATTTGATGCAGGCGTCCTTGAAAATTGTCAATACTGTGTAATACCCTGTAATTTGGAATATGATCACATTTTCTCAAACATTAGAGTCACTGAACCTGTAATATATGCACAACTGAGACTTGAACACAGTTTATTGTGGCTTCAGTTTTGTTATGAATGAATTAACCTACATGTAAAATAGTAAAAAACAAGCCACTATGTTATTCTAAAATTCTCATTTCCTCAATACAGACCAAAGTAATGCGCTTTAACAGAAGCACCAAAGATGCCCCATGAGATATTGATTCTTTTCCCAAAACTTTAAGTTTTGAGATCATTCCTGAAAGGAATTGATATTCCAGTTTATGTTCAGGCAAACTTGAATTCTCAATTCTGATTGGTCAATCCATGGCAACAAACAGTGTGATACATAGCTGTATGGTTCATATCAAACCCCGTGTTAATGCGCTGTTCTAACTTAAGGCATTGTGCTATTTTTACGCTAAAAGCAAAACGGACAACTGCCAAATTTACTTTTAATTTACTTTAATTTAAAGGTGGAGCATTTGCACACATAGGCCCCAATAACATCTCTACTGTGCGTCAAGTTTGCTTGAAGATAAATTCATTATCACGCTCGCCTTCCTGGAACACAGAATAATGCAGTGTGTCGGGTCTTTGGCCTTGCGTTAAACGGGACACATACACACTACATTACTTTGTATTCCACTCGCACTCGTGTGATGGCTATAAAATATGACCTGCACCCCTTCAACCAAATGCAACAAATCCAATACAGCTTGAGAA